CCCACGTTGCGGACCGCACGTCCGTGCCCGCAGCCCTGGCAGGGGCCGCGTGTCCCGGGCTCCCGGCCGCCCCTGCCGCGCTCCTTGTTTGCCTGCCAGCCGGTGCCCCATCGGCTTCCTCCCTCCCTCGCTCCAGCTTTCTTTTTTACTTCTTTTTTTTCCCATTCGCCCTGTTGCATAAGGAGAGGCGGAGGGCACAGAGAGAGGCGATGCCAGCAGTAAATGGGAGGCAATAGGGGACGGGAGAAGGGCCGGGGCATCGCTGCTTGGTCTGTTTGGAAGGAGATGGGTGCTCATCCCACCACCACAATCGCTTCCAGAGAAGTCACTTCCTTCCCTCCTTCTGCTCTTTGTTTCACGCCACAAAGGAGGAGCGGACGGTCTCCGTGCCAGGCAGGGAGCATGTCTCCCGTGGGGGGCAGCGTGCTCCAGGCAGCTGCTGTGCCTACGATTGTGTCTTTGTGCAGGCTCCCTGCTGCCCAAAGCAGAAGAGTTCTGCTGCCAGGTGGGGCTGGGACCCCTGGGCCTCTGCCAACATGGACCAAGTCATTCCTTCCCCTCCTTCCCTGTGCCACATCAGGGTTTTGCTGTGACACATAGGGCTGGATGGCCTGGCCCAGATTTTGGGATAGGTGGCTGACCCATCAGGACATTGTACAAAACATAGTGGTGGCTCGTGATGAGGAGCTCTGTGACAGAAATAACGTCAGATGAAGGGGCCTATATGCTGGGCCTATTTGTTGTCAAATGATGGATGGAGGATTAAAATGGACACAACCAGGACCCTTCTGGACATTAGTAATGTGCAGGGGTTGTTTGCATTTGCGTTTGTTAGTGTTCCCTGTGATGTCCCAGAGGATGTCCCTCTCCCCATTGTTCCTTCAAATCCCTGTCTCTTTTCCACCTTGCACCAAGTTCTTTTCCCCCAGCTTTTCCAGCTTGAGTTCTTTGCACTGATATCAGGGAAATCTACCCCTGTATTGTCATGACCCCAGGAAGGCAAAGGTACTATTGCAGTCTCTTGGCCATAGTACTGTGCAAAGCCCTCTGATGCATTTTTCTCTGTTTCTCTTTTTCAGGTGACCCAGGGCTGAAGGCAACCAAGTGGACTGTGACTCAAGGTTTGAGGGGGATCTGTGAGTTTTGCTTTCATTAACCTGTTAATCCTGCTTACAGTAACAGCACCTTGATACTCTTCCTTTTGTTCTTTAATTTTTGCCTTCCATTTTTTCCTTTCCAGAAACTGTCCTCTTGAGTTCTCTGTCTGGGAACAGTGAACTCATCCCTCACGCAGCCAGGCTCAGGTTCTCATGGTCCCTGCCCTAGGCTTTCCAATCACCCTACCTTTCATAGTGTCTCCCTCTGTTACTAAGAGAAAAGGTCAAGGGTATGATTTTTTTCTTTGCACCCTCTTATGGTTAATGTGTCTTTCTGACCCCCCATGGCATCACCCTCACTCACCACCAGAATGTCTGCTCACATCCAACATGCCCACAGATGTCAGGGGGCAACTTGACTCAGTGAGACCTCATGCCAGCAATACATGTTGTGCCAGCAGCCTCAGTGCACCAGTGGGACTCACTCCATGTGCTCCCTGTGAAGCTTGCCCTGGCCACGCTTACAGTACTGGCCCTCACAGCCAGCCACATGCTGCTGTCACCTCCCCTGGTGCGTGTCTGAAGGAGCTGCTTAGTGACCTTGCCCATTTTGTTCCTGACTTGCTTAGAAACCAGAATGCCTGTTTTCCCAGACACATTGCCTTGTGCTGGCATGGCAGGCACACACACTCCAGCACTTGTGGGTGCTGCTGGATATTGTTCTGTGTCCTCAACATGGAGGTGTGTTTCCCTTCCCTCACCCAGGTTTCTCCCTTGGCATTTGTCCCTTGATTCTTTACTCCTGAGCCATTTGCTGCTGGTCTGGCAGCAATTCCAGTCTCCTCTGACTATCTTGCCCACAGAGATGGTGACCAGTGAGGCCCCAGGGCTGACTGGGTGGTGACAGATCACAGTGGGCTCCACCTCATTTACTCCTAAGTCTGAGCCAGTCTCTCATCTTAGAGAAGTCTGTCCATTAACCCTCAGGGCTGGAGAGTACAATTATGTGTGCTTGTATAGCTTGAAGCTTTCTAACCAGCCCAAGTAAGTGGTTTTCACCTTTTCAGCCAGTCACTTCCTGTAAGAAAAGACACATCCATTCTCTTTGAGTACAGATCTCACAAATGAGTACAAACCTTGCACATGCCAGCACTGGCTTTCTTCTCTGGAGAATCTCCTGGCCTGCATGTACCTTTGGCTCTCCAAAATCATATTTGAATGAAGAAAGTCTTCCTTCAGCAGAAGGTTTGTGCTTTGCCAACAAAAAGAAATCCCTGAATTTGTTGATGTTCTTGGGAAACTTCTCCAAATGCTTTTCTCTGGTACTGCAGGGGCAGTGTGGACAGTGCTGATTTCTTTATGTGAGCCCAGCGTGTCTCAAGCCATGCTCGAAGCTGCGGGTCGGTAATGAGGCCAGTCATTTGTTTGGGCTCCTGTGGATAATTCTGTCAGGGCCAAGCACTCTGCCAATGAGTTTCTTTTAAGGACTGATTTTCTTTTACACAGTCAAGACTCAGACAGCCTATTATTAACCTCAGAGCCTGATGGCTTGCTTTGCATTCCCATCCCTGTCTGTGCTTTCAGTGATTCCAACACCCAGCTACTGCACTTCCATGCACCCCTGTTGCCTTCCTGCCCTAGCTTAGAGCCCTGCCTCACCAGACTCCTTTTGCAAATGTTGCACCTCAGTGAAACTTGTCATGTCTTTCACCCGTCCATAGAGGAGAGGCTCTGTGAGGAAAGCTTTGAGTTTTCAGTCATCCTATCCCAATTACTTGTCCCAACAATCCTAGTAGGAGTATGAGTAGGGAAATGTGGCCTTGATCTTCTAGGTGGGTGAAGAGATGTGGCAGCAGCAAGTGGAAAGCCAATAGAAGAGAAAAGAACTTAAATGCAAAGCTTCAGGATGCCAGGCTTAGGACAAATTCCACCAGTTCTGAAGAAGAACAGTAGGTGCAAATGTGTATTTTGCTCATACTCAAGCAGTGGTGTCACCACTGACAGCAGGAAAGGATGAGGGGCTTTTTGAACAAGGACTCATAATGAGACTGTTCCTGAGCTCAGACCTCCTGCTTAAAAAGTCCCTTGACATGTGAGGAAGCAAACAGCATTGAGCATAGCGGGGAAAACCTCAGAGACCACAGGAGGTCCGAGGGTGCCAGGCAAAAGAAGGGCAAGCCTCTGCCAGCATATCTCTGTGGAGAGGTGAAGCAGGCATCCAAAAATAGCTCACCCTGCTGCCAAGAGCAGTGAGCCTTTGATAAACAGTTTAAGAATAACCTCAGTGGGAAAGACACTGCAGCTCCCTCCATCAGAACTGAATTTGTGTCTTGTTTGCATTTCCATGCCCTGCCAGCTTGCCATGGAGCATGTTGCTCATGTGATGCTTGCTGCCTGCAGATACTGGCCCTGGCTGCAATGTGGGCAACCATGAGGGACTGGGAAGATGCTTGGCTATATTTTGCTTCTGCAGCAAGGACTTGTCCTGGTTGGAAGCAGGAGCAGGGAGGCAGTCTGATGGGGATATGCCTGGTCAGAGCTACAAGATGCTTTTTGTGTTGCAGCTTTCCATCCCCCTGTTGACACGAGGGGATGGCTTGTGTGGTTGTCAGGTGGAGAGGGGAAAGTGCAGGGTGTTCTGCTACAGGAAACTGGAGCCAGATGAGCTAAGGGCCAGCATGTCCTGGAGAACCCTTCCTAGGGAGGCTGGGTTTTGGGGACACTCTGCTTTGTGCACCCTTAGCCAGCACTGGGATGTGGAGTAGTGACAGAGAAGTTCTCTTCCTACCCTTTCCACATGTCCAAGATAACAGCGCAGGCCATAGCCAGGAGATCACATTGGGATGCAGCCCCATTCCCACCTGGCTGCCCTGGGATAGCAGCACCTCTCTCTAGGGAAATTGGGATTTTGTGGTCTGAATCCCCTGGTGTGCTGGTTCTGCAGTGGGGGACCTCAAAGCTCTGGTTACCTGCACAGGAAGCCCTGGCACACAGCAGAGCAGCAGGGCTCATTGCACTGATACGTGCTCTTGGACACTGTGGCTGAAGTTCCGTATGAAGGGACAATGCTTATATCCCCCTTAGCCCAAGGCCACCACACACCCCCTCCTCTGGGTTCTGGACACAGACCCTGCCCTGCCCCCCTGCCCCAGCTCCCTGGCAAGGCCGCCTCCAGAGCAGGGCCTGGAAGGAAATAGATATGTACCGACAGAAAAATCTTGTACTTGGAAAGGTTATTGTATCGCTCTGGTGGTTGGGGGAGAGTGTGATGGAGGTGGGGCAAGGCAGGGGCCGACAATCCTTCTCCAAATGCTGTCACTCCAGCGCAGTGATCTTCGGAGAGCCCTTGCCATTCTGCTGCCAGCAGGCAGGAGCCAATTAAGGGCAATTAGGGTGGAAGAGCAGAAGGCGCCCCTTTAGCTGCCTCCAGAGCGGCCACTGGGAGCACTGGCGCTGCTCCACACTGTAAGGTTATTAGAGTTCTCCTCCATATTGGTCTTGGAAGAGATGCTTTGGACCCATCTGCTTGGAGCAGTGAGATGAAAGGGAGACACCCTTTGATGTGTTTGCCTGTTCACACAGTGCCTCTGTGGGGAATCAACCTCAGCACCTTCTGCAGCACCTTCCACCACTGTTAATCATCCAGGCGGGTTACCCTGGTGTCTGAGGTCTCCCAGGCAGAGCATGATCCCCCAGGGCACACATGTGGCTTCTTCCCCACGTAGTGAATCCTTTTCCACGAAACAAAATGCAGCAGGCAAGAGCAGAGAGCAGCAATGAGGACAGAGTTTCTGGGGCAGAGGGCTAGCCCATCTCCATGAGGAGAAGGAAGAGAGGCACAGCTGACAATAAATGGCCTGACTGCTGCCATACTGGCCATGGCTTGGTCCCAGGGCTCTTCCTGGGTGACTGATGCTCCACAGCTGGATATTGGTAATCTCAAAGCCTCCCTCTTATCTGCATGTACTGCCATAGCACATCAAACCATATGGAATGACAGTGGCTGAGCTTCTAACAGCCTTGTTGCCTATTTTGTTCCAACACTTGCAAAATCCCCTTCCTTGGCCATCACTTCCTCCCCTACAGCTCAGGCAGCTGAGTGTCACACTATATTGGGAATGGCGAGGCAGTACGACATGGACTCTCCCGTGAGTTGAACAGGAGAGCATAAGGTTTATTACCTCAGATCTTCTTTTATAGACTGATACACAAAAGTCCAGAAAGGTAAAACTCTGACTGGTCAGTAAACTAACACATCACCATCATTGGTCAGTGGTGTACACCACCTCTCGACCTTCTCTTGCAAGAAAACAAGAAACTGACAAACAACACCTGCAAGGCTGTCTTCTATCTCTGAGGATTGTTTTAATTCCCCGTTATGATTTCCCAGCCCACTTTCTCAGGCAAGTCTGAGAAAGTTATGTGGCCTGCTATTCCACAGGCACTGTGCTCCCTGCTTGCTGCTTGCATTTAGCATCCATAGCTGAGGAACAGCAGAGGCAGAAGATGGGGCAGCTCTGTGATATGTCATGAAGACATCTACTAGGCTTGCAGAAGAGATAGTCCTTCCTAGTCCCTGCTCTGCAGGCCTGAGTACTCAGTGCCTCTGGGCACCAGTGTCCTGCCAACACAGAGATCCCACCGCAGCACACGGTTTCCTAACATATTGCCCACAGCACCCTTATTCCTTTCCCCCTCTCCATTCTGCTTCTTGAACAGTCCCTCTTCTTCCCTAGGGGCCACACCTCCCCATCCTTATTTTCTCACACTTTACTGCTCCCAGTATCACTGTGCCCATCCTGTTTTGCTCCCTGCATTATTTTTGCTGCCAGGGGACTGCAGCGGAGATAAAGCTGGAAGAGGAAACAGGTGCAGCTTTTACCACTTGGCATGGGCTGTGGTGGGATGGGAGGAAGGTCCATAGCAACTCACCATCTTCACAGAATCTATATTTTTCCTGCATCCAGGAGCTGCTGCTGGATGGACTTCAACTTTGTGTTGATGTGGAGGAGAGCAAGAATGCTGTCAAGGCCAGGCATCAGTCTTTCTATTGCATGGGCTCCAGGCATGATTGGTTTGGGTCCAATTCTCCAAAGTTCTTTGCAAACTAAGTAGCTCTACTGAGGTGACTCTTTGGGCAGGTGCCTTGCTCTGCCACCTCCCTCTTAGGGTGGATGGCTCCTTGCATCTCCCAGCCAGCTGAGCATGCTGTGCAAAACTGCCATCTCCAGCTCTGTGCACAGAGCACCGTGTAAACAAAAGGCTCTAAGCATGCTGCCTCACAGCCTCCAGAGCAAAGGTGGCCCCAGGGCACTTGCCATGGATTTTCCACCCACAGGTGCCACCACCCTTCCGGAAGGAAGCAGTCAGCCTTGTTTTGAGCAGCTGCCTTGCAAATGCATCCTCTCTAGCATGCAGCTGCCTGACCCGGGACAAAGCTACCTGTGGCCTCAAGGAGTGAAACACAGCATTGAAAACTGAAAGTGCTGCACACAGACAGAGCAAGGGATGCTCTCCACCAGCTCCTGTAACAAGCACCTTTCTGCTTTTCAGTCTTTGTCAGGAACAGGAATGATCTCTGTAGTTTCTTATCCTGCCTGGTGCTGCCTTTGCATCTGCTGCAGAGCAGAAATTCAAGGAGATGGATGAAGACCTTGATCTGCTTTGTGGAAATATTTCTACTGTTTTCAGCTTAGGTAAAGGTGTTTAGTTAACAGATCCTACCTGCTGGCACTAAAGAACATGAGATTCTCTCAGATTTTTTGCCAGCATTCCTCGTACTTTTGTGTTGCTTCAAACAGGAAACAATGCTCATGGAAAAGCTTCTAGCTGCTCCAGAATGGGTCCCTGGAAACTTAGTCAGCTAGTTGCAATGCAGACTTCAGAAGTGCTCTTACCACATGTGCTACCTCTTAGAAGCCAAGGAGGGATTCCTAGGGCTAGGAAGAGAGAGTGTATGCCACCATGTGGCAGTAGATTCCCAAGTGTGGAGCTCAGGAAAGCTCCAGGCAGGACCAGCTCATTGCTCAGGCTGGAGGATGGCCTGACCATCACAGGCAGAACTTCAGTGAGGAGCTATGACTTTCTGTGCATGGACAGGGAAGTGCTGTACAGGCACCCTGTCCCATCTCCAAGGGCACCAGCCATCCCCTCCATGAAGGTAAGATTTATTCTGCAATTGAGTAGCCCTGAAATTTACCATGGAAGACAATGTTAATCTGAGAATTGTGTTCCAGCACCAAAGACCCATTATTCACAGTGACAGCCTGCAGAGCTGAAAATAAACAAAGAACAAAGTCAAATCAAGTAGCTTTGGACAGAAACCACCCTGCCTCAAGGCAGAAAACAACTTATAAGCAAGAGAGACAACTTCTGAGGAAGAAACTCTTTTGGAAGCACATTATCCTACTGATGCAAAGCTTCTTGCCTTTCTCTCAGAAGCAGCTAAAAACTGGCCTGCTAGAAAACTTCGGGCAAGATGGAGGTTTGTCTTCTTATCTTCTACATTTTCACTGTAAAAAGAAATAATAAAAAAAAAATTAAAAAAAAAATCATCTTTCTGGCAATGAAGAGAGCCCTAAAAATCTGAAATCACTGTAAAAAGCCACTGCATTGTTTGTAGTCTGAATTATGCTACAATGAGGACTCTGAGCTGTCACTCATAGCAACAGGCTCTAAATTCAGCAATGGCCACTCAAGCCTTAGCTTCCCTCACTATTGCATGCTGCCTGAGGATGTGTTTATCCCTAGGGTCTGTACTGTCCTCCTAGATACCAAATGCCTATTTCTGCCTCCTTAAAAGCTCTTCCAGGGTGTTGCACAGTAACTGCTATCCTGTATTCTATAAATATAGCACTGTCAGCTTAAAACACTTTTGAATATAGAGAGGAGTAGCTGGAGACAACTACCTAGTTAGGTTACTTTGGTATTTCATTCTCTTAAATGCTACACTGTAATTTGAAGGTGGGAATGAAGCTATTGACAAGTCTGAGGTCTTTTGCCTGGAGATCCAGGTAGTCCAAAGGGCCCTGTTCCCAAAAAAACTTGGAGTAAACTTGTCCTAACCATCCCATCCATGCAAACTACTGCTGTATCAAGGTTTAGCTGACTTTGGTTGCTGGACCCTCATCACCCCAGGTGTTTTCCAACTTCTCCTATTCTTTGCTTTTCAGAGGAAGTGTGTCTAAGAGGATAGACCATGCTGGCAGACCTCCAACGCCACGTGCTGATTTGCCCTGGTGGAGACTCTAACCTGTTGCTGTCTGGGAAAACCAGATCTGTGTGCCCTTGAGAAGAGCACATAGAAGATCAGAGTGTAGACTGAGGAAAAATGCACCAGATCTACCCCTTCTGCTTTTAAAGGTCATCCACTTGGGCTCACACTGCAGCTCACACTGGTTGGACAAACAGGTCTTCATATACAGTAACAAACACTCAAATCAAAAAGCATTTGAAAATATCATCCTGTCTGGCTGTTCCAGATGAGTTTTGTAGTGAATCTGGAGGTGCCCTTTTCCTGGAGTGCTGTGCTCCCATTATGCTGCCCACAAGCTGCATGGGATCAGGGCTCAGCACCATGGCTTACCAGAGACAGTCACCTTAATCAGCTTAAACCACAGCTTGACTCAGGCCTCAAACTGTGCCACCCATCTCAAGGGAAGGTTGCTGAAACAGAGAGTGACTGCCCTGAAAATTCCTCCTGTGGTCACTTTTGTAAAGTCCTGCTTAGCTCGGAAAGGGATGGGGAAAAAAGTTAGTGGCACTCTGTCTCTAAAAAACAGAGTGTTTCAGCTGTGATTCATTTTGTTTGAGGATTTGGCCTGTTTTGCTAATTTGTGGGAAGCCAATTCAGCAGAGTTGGTAACCAGTTGTTTGCTGATGCTGCCTTTGGGATGGTTGTCACCTTCCACCTGGGAAACGTGGGGGGCCCCAACACAGATTGGGCACAATAATATCCTTGGAGATGTGCAGAGATGGGCCTCTTGTGTCTGTGGGGCTAGTCTGGCTGACTTTTCTTCTTTCTTTGAAAGAGCAATAAACACCTCTGGACCACCCCATGGAGGACTGAGTTGTAGCACATTGTCCTCAATTTGCCTTCTGCTCCCACTGCCTGCTGTCCTTGCTTCTTTGTGGCATGTGTGAGGATGGATATGTCTGTCCCAAGAAATTGTCTGCAGTAATTTTGCAGTACCTTCGACATCGGACAGACTACTTGTGGCCCACAGACCACAGGCTGAGAAATACTGTGTGGGGTGATGTCTACTGAGTTGCCTCCCAGAACTCAGGTTCTTTGAAACACATGAAAAAAAGCAGTTTATGTCCTGGAAAAGACATTGCCTTGGGCAGACAAGCACGGGGGACGCAAAGACAGGGACACCCCACCACCCAGCTGGACTGTCCTCTAGCCCAGGGACCTGACTCTCCCAGAGTTACTGTCTGAGCAGCCCAGGTGAAGATTTAGGGGGTCCCATTTGCAGCTGTGCTGTGACATGAGATAGGGATGCTGGCAAAGGGCAGGCAGGTAAGGAGGTGCAGTGTGGGTCTGTGGTGGGAGGGAGCAGAGGGGGAGGAGGGAGCTCTCGCCAGCCCCACCACACTCCAGCAATCAAAGCCCAGCCTCTGTAATTAATACTATTTAGCCCAGGTTAGTAGCAGAGGAAAATGTCTCTTGTCAGCCTGGCTTTGCCCACTGGCCCTGATTTAGCAACATGAAAGCATTTTTTCTGATTAACTGTTCACTGAAGGAGATAAAAGAGATGACCATAAAAAGTTTTCTTTAATGTGATGAATGCAAAGGGACTGGTAGAGCTGGAAAGGGTGAGAGAAGAGAGACTGCTCTGACAGTAGATGGGGCTGGGCTGGGAAAAGGGTGTAGGGCAGAGCTGGGGGGCTGGGATGACAGAAGGGCTGTGAGGCAGGGGCAGAACTGGGGGGGTGTCCAGGACTAGTCTGGCAGGGGCCCCAGGATGGGAATAAGTGGATAACCAGGACGGAGGCAGTGGTAACTGAAACATTTCTGAAAAGAGATTGGTAGCAACTGTAATTGTTACAGATGTATATATAGATAGATATGTATATATGCATGAGGTTTTTTAAGGCTTTTATGAAGTTGCAGTCTGAATGCCAAATTTCACTGCTCATCTCTACTACTAAGCTAAAAAAAAATGTTGGTAGCTAGGAAACAAAGTGAAATAGTAAAGTTCAGTTTCTAACATGATGTGGTTAGGATATTTTAGGGAACAGTGATGCTGCTCCTACTTTGTAAAACCATAGCAGGGGGTTGAAAAGCTGTATTTAAAATTTATTTATATTTAAAAGCTAAGCCATACCTTAAAAGAGATTTCACTGTCACGTAGTCCAAACTGGCCTTCAGTGGCTTTCAATGTGATTTTTAAACTATACATTGTTGACAGATTACATTTTAAACTTTTCTCAAGATGGACGATGAAGTTGGTCTGACCCACTTGAGATTGGTTTCTGTGTTTTGGGTAGGTACTAGCCAGAATGAAAAAATACTAATTTGGAAGAGAGAGGGAGAAAATCCAAAGAGCATCCCCAGTCAAGTTAGTTTTTACAGTTGTTTGCAGAAAAAGATTTTGCCCTGATGTTTTTTATGTATTTAGGGATAGAAAGGAAGAGTGTATGAAATAAGATGATTTCAATTGAGAGGTTCTTATTGAAAGGTAATTGTGCACAAGGTAAAGGATGAAAGTCCTTATAGATAAATATTCAGTTAGAAAAACTGATGTGTCTTGTACAAGCTTATTGTGCTAAAGGGGATGTAACTTTACAGGCAAGCCAGAAATCATTATCTCCCCAGGATGTGCAGTGAGAAGCTCAAACATGCACAAAGGCATCGTCCGTGTTTGACATTAGGTTGGCTGGTCTGTAAGCAGATCGGATGTCCTCACCCCATGCTCCCCTTCTGAGTCAGCTCAGCTCCTCTCCCAGAGGTCAGAGGAGACACAGGAAAGGTCCCTGAGCAGGCAATGGAAACACTGAAAAGGAGGTTAGACTTGAATGCAGATAAGAGGAGTGAAAACTAATTGATCTGAAAAAACACTGTTGTTGTGGGGTATAAAATAATGACTGGGAAGTCCCTTTTATTTACTGAGAGGCAATAATAGCAAAGGGCAGATGATAATGCTGAAAGGGTGGCATTTTAGTGCTCTTTAATCTAGGAGAGAGAGGCATAACAAGCAACAGGGGTTGCAGTTTCAAGCCTGGCAAATGTAAATAAGAAATGAGGCAGGTTGCACAGGGGGTGCTGGCATACATTGAAGCAGAGTATGTCTGGAAATTGTGTGGGGCTCACCATCACTTAATGGCTTGGTGTCCAGACAGGCTGATTTTCTGGGAGATAAAAACAAGTTACTGAGCTCAACTGCAGTGATGGCTGAAATTCAGTGGCGGAGCATTAGCCAGGCTAAGAATTCCTGCCTTTTCTTCATTCAGGTAGAGACTTGACTGAAAAATACCATACTCACCCAGGCATCTCACCCATAGGGACTGTCCCAGGGTGGTGGTGAGTACAGTCACCTTCTTAAGGGGCTGTGATATTTGCGTGGTCGAGAAAAGCGTGCATTCCTTTATTGCCTGGGGGAAAGCGGCATTATTTTGTGTGGAAGCAGCTGCAGGCAGTGGTCTTTGAGTGGAGGCCTGAATTCAGGAGGAGCCATTGTGGTGTCTGCACACTGCCACACACATCGACCTGGGACAGCCATTCTGACAGCTGTACTGGGTGATCCCTCCTGTCCCTGACAACCTGCCAGCATGGGAAGACAAAATGCTTGACCCTCTGCACCCTGTATGTGCTTCCACCAGCTTGTGTCAGGTCTGCTCAGAGTCCATCCCCACTCCCTGCGAAGCCTTTCTGTGAAGGCTCTGTAGACATTTCAGGACAATCCTCTGCATCCTTTCTTTCCCCTGCTCAGAAATGTTTCCAAGGCTCATCCACAGTGTCAGTGCATGTTTCCCTTAGACCTTTCAGGATCCCCTCCTGTTGTGTGCCCCTAGGGCAGAGGCCTCCACGTGTTCCCCTGTCTAACCACACCTCCTGTTCCCAAAAATCTCCATTTCTGTGAAATATCCTAAGCCCCCTGTAGGCTCAGCTAATGTGCTGTGACCCATCCTGCTAGTCTGCAAGCAGCTGCCCAGGCTGCCAGCACATCCCAAGGTTTTGGGGTAAGGGAAGTCCATGCCAAAAGCTCTGCCTTGCCTCTGGCATGCAGTGGGTCAAGTAGTGCACAGGAGGTAAAAAAAAAACCCCACACCTGCCAGTGCTGACTAAGTAATAATGCTTTCCCAGAAAGTGGAAAATCTCAGCCTGGAGTCCATTATTGTAAATAATTTTTGTTTTAACAGCAAACAAACAAATTGCTGGAAGTCTCCTGGCAGCAGGTGCTGGCTCCATGTGAAACCCAGCCCCGCAGCCCATGGTTCTCAGTTGTCTGTTTATTCTATCTTCTATTTATAGCTGGTCAAACCTTTCCATCCTTCCTTGTGTTTTCTACTTGCTCTGTCTGACTAATTAATGTATTTACTGTTAGTATTTTAATAAAACAAACAAAAAATTGAATGAAAAATATTGCCTGTGGCCAGGGTGCTGCTGGCTTGAAGTGTTTGGGAGGATACAAGCCAGCTGGGGGAAGCCTGTATGGTAATGGATATTGGAGGAATGCTAAGATAGGAAAAGAGGTGGTGTACATCTAAAGGATGGGACAGAACTCAACTGTGGCAGGACTAGGTCTGTCTTCCTGGTGTGAACTGCAGTATTTTCACTGGCTTTGTCTGAACCACTCCTCATTTTGTGCCAGCTGTGGCTTTTGTCCCTGGTCCCAGCTAGGGCAGCCTCTGTTCCAGCTGTGACAAGTGGGCCCCTGGCTAAAAGGCATGACAGATTGGGAAAACAATCATTGTGTTGGTCCAGGGCGAAGCTGTTGAACAAAGAGACTGGCTGGCTGTGGTTATGGAGAAGTTTGGCTGAGACACAGATGCTGCAGGTGATTTCAGGCTGGTGACTGTGACTGCTTGGTGAAGGTAGACAGTGAATCCACAGCTGAAACCACTCTGGAAACCTGTGACAGAGGAGCATCCTGAAAGCTTTGGGATAGGTGACACCACCCAACATGGAATAAATGAATTGAACAAGCAATGTACGAAAAACCACCGATGTGCCACTGAGCCTCACTTCATCATCCACTCTTTTACAGACATCTTTTGTACTGCTGCTACACGAGCCATGACTGCAGCCACCTTGCTGTGTCAACTTCACATTTTTCTCCTTTAGGCTTGTATCTCTTTACTTACATGCAAGTGTAAGCACTGCCTTATAGCCTCAAGCAGACACCAACCACGTGCCTCTCCCTTATTTAAATTAATTTTACTTGCCAACACAGTGCAAGATTCTGTAAAGTATGGCTATAACTAAGCTCCCGCTTTGTGGGTTGGTGTTTTGGTGTGTGTCATGAACTATGTAGGCCTCATTGGCCTTGAAATCCCAAAAATTATCACTCATGCTGATACTGCCTTTCTCAAAGAGCAGTTTCTTTCATTTCACATTGGGTCATTTAGGCAGGAAGCTCTAAACCTGACACTTGCTTCTCTTTTTTGAGTAGTGCATGATAAACTTCTAGATTTTTGAACAAGTGGGATTTGCACCCCTTTGTGGAGGGAGTGTAGCTCAACTGGTTGCATAAGTGGATATTTTCTCATTTAGAGAAGATGATATTGCAATTTACTGCTCAGCAGAAGACAGATCCACAGCCTAAAATATCTCTGATCCCCTCAGATATCTGTTTTCCCTAGGAATCTCCATGTCTGGAGAGTGGGGAGAGCCTTGCTGTGAAACGGTGAGAGTGGTGCTTGCCTCTGCTCCCAGAAAAAAACCGTAGGCAACTAGGCGGATCAGGTATAAAAGTGTAGATAGAAAAAGCCTGGTGAATTTCCCTTTTTAAAGTAGTTGTCTTCCCAGGGTGCAAATTCTGAGTCCTCTAAAAAGGCCAGTTGTGACCAGAAATATTTATACAAAATAAGTTCACGGTGTGTTTTGTTAATCTTGGGAGGTCTGCACAAATTAATTTGTTACATATTTTTACACTGGATAATTTTCAGGCTGGTTTTTTTTAACAGGGCTGCTAATAGAACTGTTAACAGTCTCAGGCAGTGTCCAAAGATTCACCAAAACTTTTCACTTGTACTACAGCTGATATTTGTGTGACATTCAGCATGCCAGACTGGAACATTCAATATTTGGGACTTGGATTCCTCCCAGACAGAAAGGCGCTTAGAAGAGGCTTCAGCCTATCTCTGGGCTCCTTCCTTTAACAAAACTCTGATTAAGTTAATTATGTTTTATGAGGAAAAAAAAGGAATAGAAAAAATGTCACTGTTGGACATGAAATGATTCACACGGACACAGCTCGAGGTGTGGTGAAAGAAGAAGAAGGTTTATTTGTTCTTTCAATATTTATAGATTTTCAACCACGACCAGGGATTGGATAGTCAGGTTACCACCTTCCCAACTGCACTGGCCGTGAGAGACATCCATTAAAAGGCATATCTTTAAT